TTGTATGTTGAACATTTTTGTTTTTATTGTTCACATAGAACTACATAATCTGATTTTTTAAAAAATATTTATTTTTTAGTTGTAGTTGGTGACAATACCTTTATTTTATTTATTTATTTTTATGTGGTGCTAAGGGTTGAACCCAGGGCCTCACAGGTGCTAGGTGGGCGCTCTACCACTGAGCCACAACCCAGCCCATAATAATTTTTGTATGTGGTGTTGGGGATCAAACTCAGGGCCCTGTTCATGCTCGGGAAATGCTCTACTACTGAGCTACATTGGTCTCCAGATTAATCAAGTCGTTTGAGCCAGGCACGGTGTGCATGCCTGTAATCCCAGTGGCTCAGTAGGCTGAAGCAGGAGGATTGCAAGTTCAAAGCTAGTTTCAGCAACTTAGGGAGGGCCTAAGCAACTTAGACTCTGTCTCAAAATTAAAACATATAAAAGGGACTGTGAATGTGGCTTAGTGGTTAAGTGCCCCTGGGTTCATTCCTTAGTACCAAAAACAAAAAACCCACAAAAGATGGTTTGATATTTGAAGCTATAAGATTGGCAGCATTTGCTTAGTTGCTGTAAAATAGAATGATGTTTTTGTACTTGTTGAACATGGTTCCTTTTGCTCCCTTCAGATCTTAGTGTGAGATTCATGAAAGTGGTTGAGTTTTTCAGCTTCTTCATTAGTTGCTTTTGTTTTGTTTTTGTGATGCTGAGGGTCAAACCCAGGGCCTTGTGCATGCGAGGCAAGCACTCTACCAACTGAGCTATATCATGAGCTATATCATGAGAAGTTTTTCAACTTCTTTAAGGAAAAAATGAAAATAAAAAATATAGACAGTTACACTAAATAAATTATTTATTACACTGTATTATTTTCTCATTTTACCCAAGGGGAAATGGCAATATAATATAGCATCTTAAGGGACTTAGCTTAACTGTCATCCTATTCCCTGACCTAATATATGATTTCTAAGTTTATGTATTTGTCACTAGAAAACTACTACTTTTCAATTGACTAGTAGCTGGTAATTGTAGTTATTGTCCGTTATAGTATTTATAAGGTGCTGTGGCTGTGAATGTTACCCTTAAGACTGTAGTTAGTGACCCACTAGGTTTTAATTGCTAGAAAGTCTCAGGATGTAAAAAAGTTTTGGTAAAGGTTGGAAAATGTTCATTCTTGCTTTCCTAAAATTTGCCATCAGTGATTACTTAGTAACAACAGAATGTTTTGAAAATATACCCGCAAGAGTCTAGCTGTTATTAAAATGCCATAATAACTAGTATGTAAGTGATCATTCCTTTTTTGTTGCTGTTGCAACTCTGTGGTAAGAGGATAACTTCAATAAAATCCTTAAGAAGAATATAGTATGAAAAGGTATCTGGTAAGAGAATTTTAAAAAATGGAATGTGGATGAAAAGTTGAAAGACACATGTATAGGTTTAACATAGTTGTATTTGTTTAAATTACCTTGCAGGTCAGGTTATTTTCTCTTTGATAAACCATAAAATTCTCTTTTATTATATCATTTATATATATCTATAGTTTACTGGTTTCTGTTTTTTTAAAAAATAGTGTTATAATGCCAAACCCCATTTTAATGCAATATAAAGCTTGCAAATTTGGGCTCTCCTGTGTCAGGAAACAAACAGTATACTAATTTCTAAATTACTAACTAGGCTTCTAAATGTACATGTTTTTCACACAGCAGAGATTATAAAGCAATCTGTATCATTGATGTTTTCACTGAGTGTTTGCCATTGTTTGGTACTGTTTGTCTCTGCATTTATTCAATATTACCATATGCTGTAATCACTAGATCAGAGTGAGTATCCAGCAAGAGGAGACTGCCAAGTAGTAGCCAAAATAAACAGTGGGAAATGAAGCTGCTATAAACTTTGTGGACAGCAGTTACACAGTGCTCTTTGAAAATTGTACATAGTAGGTGGGAAAGTAGGTCATGCCTCATTTTTTAAATAAAGTCCTTTTCTTTAAACAGCTTTCAGAAGTTTGCCTATACTCACTAATCCAAATAGGCATTTATAAATGATGTGAAATAATTTAAAAATAAGTTTAAATAATTAAACAACTTTGTATTTCTATTTCATGTAAATGTGGTTTTTCAATAAAAATACTAATTGTAGTAATTAGATATCACTTTTTGGTCATTTCTTCTAGTGGAAGGACCTATATGACTAAGAGACAGGGATGATATTAAGGTTTTTGTTTGTTCTCATTTAGCTTCCTACCCAAGTTAAGTCAGCAAATAATCTGTTCAGAGTTTGTTTTCCTTTATTGACCACCGTACTGCTAGCTTACTATTTAGTAAGCAAGAACAAGCTTAACCAAGAATTTTGGAAAGTGGGAAAAAGGTAAACAATATGGCTTCTGCCATCCAATAAATAAATAAATAAAATGACCCTTGGGCTGGGGATATAGCTCCATGGTAAAGCACCTTCCTGGTGTTCATGAGTCCTTGTGTTTGATTTCCAGAACTGTTAAAACAAAAAAAAAAATTTTAAATATCTTAAACAATACAAAGCTCACCATGTCCTGGATAATCAAAAGAGCTGTTTTTTATAAAATGAGAAAGCAAACAGTTTAAAAGATGGATGGTAGTGTGGGCTATCTCAAATCTTCACATGGAAATTTAATATAACATTTAAATTATCCAAGTATTTATCATAGATAAGATAAAAATCTATAGAGGAAATCTTAAAGAATTTAGGATGTTGGTTGGTGCAACCAAGCATTGAATGTCTTCTAATATTTGAGAGAAAAGAACATTTTTAAAGTGGCTTGTATAGTTCTTTTTTTTTTTTTTAATTTCTTAGTTATAGGTGGACACAACGTCTTTATTTTTCATTACTCAGAATTATTTCTTACACTGTATTGTTTTCTCATTTTACCCAAGGGGAAATGGCAATATAATATAGCATCTTAAGGGACTTAGCTTAACTGTCATCCTATACCCTGACCTAATATATGATTTCTGAGTCCTGAATAATAAAGATCAATGCCATAATAATAATACCGTACTGTTGACCTTTTAGAAGATATTCATATCTGTTGTCTCACTTAAGCTCCTCTAGTTTTTTTTGTCAAAACCCCCTAAAGTATGTGTGTGTCTGTCTGTCTCTCTCTCTTTCTCTCTATATAAAACTTATGTGCATTGTATAAAAACACTTCAGTCAACCACAGGCTACATGTATGATTTGGTGCCATAAGATATATCACTAAAGTAAGGCTTTGTAGCTGTCTTCGTTTGTGTAAGTATACACTGATGTTCACACAACAACAAAATCATCTGATGACACATTTCTCAGAAGTATCTTTGTCATTAAGTCATACATTCCTTAGTGATAGGAATAAGGTCTGAGAAATGAGCCATTAGGCATTTTGTTGTTGTGAGTGCACTTTCACATACCTACATGATTTGGGGTAGTTACTCAATATGGCCTCTTGATGCAGTCAGTAGACACAGAAAGCATGAGATGTTTGAGGCTGATGCTGGGAACATGTCATAAACAGGTTTTTTTTTTTGGGGGGGGGGGGGGGTGGATACTGGGATTAAACTCAGGGTGCTCAAACACTGAGCCACATTCCCAGTCCTATTTTGTATTTTATTTAGAGACCGGGTCTCACTGAGTTGCTTAGCGCCTTGCTTTTGTGAGGCTGGCTTTGAACTCATGATCCTCTTGCCTTAGCTTCCCATGCCACTGGGATTATGGGTGTGCACCAATGCATAAACAGTTTTATAGTGAAATTTTTTCGATAAATAGAAGGAATGCACTCTAATTATAAAAAGTATAGTAAATACATAAACCAGTAATATTGTTTATTATTATCAAGTAATATGTACTATACATAATTGCATGTACTATACTTTTTTTTTTTGTACTATACTTTTATATGAGTGACAACACTTTGGGGTTTTTTTACGCCAGCATTGCCAATGTTATGTGAGTAATACATTGTGCTACAACTTGTCAGCTACGGTGTCACTAAGCAATAAAAATTTTTGACTCCATTATAATCCTTTGTACCATCATATATGGTGATTCATCATTGAAAGAAACATTGTTATGCAGTGCATGACTGTGTATTATATGAAAAGATAAGGTAAGTATCTTCATGATAACAAGAATGTAATTGAATGGCTTTTATGCCCAAATAGTAGTAGGCAATTTATGTGCATTATCGCATTTAATTATACCTACAAACTTGAAAAGTAGGTTTCTGTATTCCCACTTTACAAATGAGACTTCTTATCACAAGTAGAAAGGTAGAAAATGGACTTTGGGGCATGATAGGAGTGGTCTAGGTAGAGAGAAATTGATACTTTCAGGCACATTTTGATTATGTGAGCACTCTCCAGAGTGGTCAGGAAAGGTGATTTTGTGGGGAAGGTAGATCTTATGCTATTTATTATTAAAGGAAAACCAAATGGAATGAGGTTTATAAATAGTGATGTTTAATTTAAGCTTTTGGGGGGCAGTGTATACTAGGGATGGAACCCAAGGGCTTTATATGTGCTAGGGTGCTTGATCACTGAGCCACACTCCCCGCCCCCAATTTAGACATTTCAAGTTTAAGAAAGCAGAAATTTTTATAGAAGGTAGGTGTAGCAAAGTCTGGTAAGATTTTTGATGTTTTGTCTTGATTCATATAAATTTTTGTTAGACTTTTCTTTGAACAGTATTTATAGTACTTAAGCTTGGGTTGTGTTTGTGCAGGAGTATAATGAGGTGCTAATGCCTTGAACATTTAAGAAAAATTTGGGAATGATTTTATGTTCACACACATGTTTATGAAGGGTAAGGATACTTATTAGTAATCCCACTGGAGTATATGAAATCTCAAAAATTTTTTTATTAATATACAAGCAAAACTTATTTATTGTTGAAAGATAGAATATAGAAAATTAACATGAAATAAAAAATGTATAGTCCTACTACTGGGTTTGAATGAATTTTGAGTTTTTTCCTTTATGTTTTTTCTTTAGAAATATGGCTACACACACCTCTCTGCAGGAGAACTTCTTCGTGATGAAAGGAAGAACCCAGATTCACAGTATGGTGAACTCATTGAAAAGTACATTAAAGATGGAAAGATTGTGCCAGTTGAGATAACCATCAGTTTATTAAAGAGGGTAAGGAGCACAAATGCCAACTAGTTCAGGGCAGCAAGGAAGCAAATTAAATCCACCCTTTTTGGAGTAGTGGAGCAATAGGAGTGTTGAATTCCTTGCATGTAGAAGGTAGTCATGATGTTTGAGAATGGCAGAACTGGAAACTCTGCTTTCCCTTGGGAAGAAATTGAACAGCTGTATACCTCAACTTAATAATCCGTGTGTACATACTTGAGCCTTTACTTTGCAACATACAAACATTTGTTCTCTTTTCCATTTCTCTTTCTTCTTTTCCCTCTTCTCTTTTCTTACCCCTTGCCACTTTGTTTTTTTTTTTTTTTAAACCTTTATCTCTTCTTTTTCCCTAAAATATATATATAAGTATCAGGAAGGAACAAGGATAAGGACACTTAAGGATGAGGAGTGACTCAATATACACTCTATTATCTCAGAATTAGAATAACATACTTCCATTTCAGAGTAGATAAATCCTGTTTCCTTATTCTTTGAACTGAGTGCCCTTCCTCTAGTTTATAGCTAAGCGTCATGAAAAAGTAGTTTATTTTTTACTTATTCACTTTCCGCTTTTCAACCCTTTCCAGCCAAATGCTGTTTCCATCTCCATGGAAACTGTTTTTGCATGTTACTGATCTTCTCTACCAAGTCCAGGGAGTATTTATTATTTTTTTTGTAGCATTTAACTTTTATCACCATTTGAAACTCATTCCTCTTTTGTTCTTTGTGACACCATTTCTTAATTTATTCTTTTTAGATATACATGAGAGTAGAGTGTATGATAACATATTATACATACATGGACTATAATTTACTCTATTTAGGAGCCCATTCTTGTGTTGTACACGAGGTGGAGTTTCACTAGTGGTATATATTTATATATTAACATAGGAAAATTATGTATGTTTCACTCTACTGTCTTTCTTATTCCCAACCCCCCTCCCATTGCTTCATTCCCCTTGTCTCATCTAATGACCTTCTTTTTTTTTTTTTTTATCTTATCTAATGACCTTCTTTGGGAGTATTTTGGGATTGGCTTATTTCACTTAGTATGATAGTCTCCAGCTCCATCCATTTACCAGAAAAAGTCAGAAAGTAATTCTTTTTATGGCTGAGTAATATTTCATTGTGTATGTATATGTATATCACATATATTTATCCATTCATCTGTTGAAGGTACCTAGGTTGGTTCCATAGCTTAGCTATGGTGAATTGAGCTGCTATAAACATTGTTGTGGCTGTATTACTGTAGTATACTGATTTTAAGTCCTTTGGGTATAAATTGAGGAGCAGGAAAATGGGGTCAAATGGTGGTTCCATTCCAAGTTTTCTGATGAATCTCCATACTGCTTTCCATAGTGGTTGCCACAGTTTGCAGTCCCACCAGCAATGTATGAGTGTACCTTTTCCCCCACATGCTCGCCAACATTTATCGTTACTTATATTCTTGATAATTGCCATTCTGAATGGAATTAGATGGAATCTCAGTATAGTTTTAATTCTCATTTCTCTAATTGCTATATTTGTTGACCATTCATATTTCTTCTTCTGTGAAGTGCCTGTTTAGTTCCTTTACTTATTTATTGATGGGATTATTTTTTTTGGGGGGGATAAGTTTTTTGAGTTCTTTATTTATCCTGAAGGTTAATGCTCTGAGGTTCAGGTGGTAAAGATTTTCTCCCATTCTGTAGGCTCTCTGTTCACATTCTTGATTGTTTCCTTTGCTGTGAAGCTTTTTAGTTTGATACCATCCTGTTTACTGATTCTCGATTTTATTTCTTGTGATTTGGGAGTCTTGAGAAAGTCGGTTCCTAAGAAGACATGATGGAGAGTTGGGCCTAGTTTTTCTTTTAGTGGGCTCAGGGTGTCTGATCTAATGCTTAGGTCCTTGATCCACTTAGAGTTGAGTTTTGTGCAAGGTGAGAGATGGGGTTTAATTTCCTTCTACTACATATGTATTTCCAGTTTTCCTAGCACCATTTGTTGAAGAAGCTATCTTTTCTCCAATGTATGTTTATGGTGCCTTTGTCTAGTATGAGATAACTGTATTTATGTGGGTTTGTCTCTGTGTCTTCTATTCTCTTCCATTGGTATTCATGTCTGTTTTTGTGCCAATAGCTCTGTAGTATAATTTAAGGTCTGGTATTGTGATGCTTCCTGCATCACTTCTCTTTTTTTTTTTTTTTTAATATTTATTTTTTAGTTGTAGTTGGACACAATACTTTCATTTTATTTATTTATTTTTATATGGTGCTGATGATTGAAACCAGGGCCTTGCAGGTGCTTGGTGAGTGCTCTACCGCTGAGCCACAACCCCAGCCCCTGCATCACTTTTCTTATCAAGGATTGCTTTGACTATTCTGGGCCTCTTATTTTTCCAATTGATTTTCATGACTGCTTTTTCTATTTCTATGAAGAATGTCAATGGAATTTTAATAGGAATTGCATTAAATCTGCATAGTACTTTTGGTAGTGTGGCTATTTTGACAATATTAATTCTGCCTATCCACAAACATGGGAGATCTTTCCATCTTCTCACATCGTCCTCAGTTTCTTTCTTTAGTTTTCTGTAGTTTTCATTGTAGAGGTCTTTCACCTTTTTGTTAGATTGATTCCCAAGTATTTTATTTATTCATTTATTTATTTATTTTGAGGCTATTGTGAATGGGATGGTTTTCCTAATTTCTCTTTCAGCTGATCATCATTGGTGTATAGGAACACAATTGACTTATGGGTCTTAATTTTATATCCTACTACTTTGCTGAATTTGTTTATGAGTTCTAGAAATTTCCTGGTGAAGGTTTTTGGGTCTTCTAAATATGGAACCATGTTGTCGGCAAATAAGGATAGTTGGAGCTCTTTTCCTATTTGTATCCTTTTAATTTTTATGTTGAACAGAAATGGTGAAAGAGGGCGTTCCTGTCTTGTTCCAGTTTTTAGAGGAAATGTTTTCAATTTTTCTCCATTTAGAATGTTGGCCTTGGGTTTAACATATATAGCTTTTACAATTGTAATGTATGTTCCCTAGTTTTCCTAGTGTTTGAACATGAATGGATGCTGTTTTTTGTTAAGTGCTTTTTCAGCACCTATTGAGATGATTATATGATTATTGTCTTTAAGTCTACTGATGTGTTGAATTGTTTATTGATTTCTGTATGTTGAGCCAACCTTGCACCCCTTAATGAACCCCACTTGATCATGGTGCACTATATTTTTAACATGTTTTTGTATGCAATTTGTAGTATTTTATTAAGAATTTTTTCCTCTTTGTTTACCAGGGATATGGGTTTAAAGTTTTCTTTCCTTGATGTGTCTTTGTCTTGTTTTGGCATCAGAGTGATGCTAGCTTCATAGAATGAGTTTGGAAGGGTTCCCTCCTTTTCTTTTTCATGGAATAATTTGAGGAAGATTGGTGTTAGTTCTTCTTTGAAGGTTTGGTAGAACTCGGCTGAGAATCTGTCTGGTCCTGGACTTTTCTTTGTTGGTAGGCTTTTGATGGCATCTTCAATGTCATTGCTTGAAATTGATCTGTTTAAATTTTCTGTGTCCTCCTGACTCAATTTGGATAGGTTATATATACATATATCTCCAGAAATTTGTTGATGTCTTCAAGATTTTCTATTTTATTGGAGTATAAATTTTCAAAATAGTTTCTGATTATCATTTATATTTCTGATTATCATTTATATTTCAGTGTCCATAGTGATATTTCCTTTTTCATCATGAAGTTTAGTAATTTGAGTTTTTTCCTTCTTTCTCTTGGTTAGCTTTTGTTTTGTTGATTTTTCTGAATTTTTTGATTGTTTCATTGATATTGGCTCTGATTTTAATTATTTCCTCACTTCTGCTTTTAGTGTTGATTTGTTCTTTGCCKCAGTCTGGCTGGGCACAAAATCACGAGCCACTCACAGCCTTGTAGATTCAAACAGCAACTCTTTATTCTCAAACTGTCACTCTACAAACACGTTCTGGGGGAATTCACGTTCTGGGCCCAAATCACGTTCTGGGCAAAATCCCAAAATACTCTCTGAATCCCAGGAGAACTCAAGGAGAACTCCACGGGAACTCAAAGAGCAGGCGGGGAACTCAAAGAGCAGGCGTGCCTGAGGAGCAGGATACGCCCTATTCCCAGCAGGGTACACCTTAAACCTGGAACCGCCCTAAACCGGGATCCGCCCTGGTCCTTGAGCAAGGTCACCTTACATGCAATGACACTGCAAATGACCTGGGTCATGCCATGCGTCATTCTTACTTAGCAATGGCCCTCAGCAGTTCTTTTTCTAGGGCTTTGAGATGTAATGTTAAATTAGTTATTTGGTGACTTTCTATTTTTTTAATTCATTGCTGGTTTCTTCTGCTATCCATTGGTCATTAAATAATGTATTATTTAGAGTCCAGGTGTTAGTGTATTTCATTTTTTATTTTATCGTTGATTACTAATTTCATTCCATTATGATCTGATAGAATGCAAGGTATGATATTTCTCTCTCTCTTTTTGTATTTGCCTAAAGTTGCTTTGTGGCTTAAGATATGGTCTGTTTTAAAGAAGGATTCATGTGCTGCTGTGAAGAAAGTATATTCAGTCATTGATGGATGAAATATTCTATACATGTCTATTAAATTATTTGTATTTTTTAGTTGTATATCTTCTTCATTTAGTTTTTGTTTGGAGACTATCTAGTGGTGAGAGCTGCATTAAAGTCACTCAGTATTATTGTGTTGTTGCTGCGCCCCTCCCCTGATTCAGGCAATGGCAAGGCCCTACTGAGGTGGATGGCGCAAGGCTTGTCCATCCTCTGGAGGAGCACAGTATATTTCTGGGAATGGGCTGGTTTGTTTTTGTATTCCGTTAATAAGTATAGTTATGACTTCTCATATGACCATTAAGTATGAAGGAAAAAACATGACTTTTCCAATTAATGCAACTACTTCTAAAGAATGGATCTGTTTGCTCTAAATGCAGTGATTCAGCTGTGGAGCATAAATTGTTAATGTCTAATGAAAAACTCCCTGTATTCCTGTCAAGGAAGTTTTTGAGAAATTAAATTAAAATCTAGAGAAGAAAAATTAATGTTAAGAAGACAGATTAGTGCTTAGTACTGGGCAACTTGTTCTTGTTCCTGTGCACAATGGTTTGTGCTCTTACTCTTTTTTGATTAAAATTAATAACAAGTCAACCACTTGCTGTAATCATGGCACCGGTTCCAGTCAGTAAGTCAAGAAAGAATAGTCAAGGTATAGGCCAATAGTTTGGGACATTTGTAACTATTATTAAAAGTTAACTAAGCAGAAACAGCTCAAAGCAAAATGTGAACTGAAAGTACAAATGCTTGCTTATGCATAAGCCAAGATACATTCTTCTATTCTAATTGTAGCTATGTAATATTTTGTTTCTTTGAATAATGATTCCTGTTTTGTAACCACAAAGTACTGTGAGCCTGCCAAAATGAAAAGTATATATGATTAACTTCACAAGTAAAGATTGGGATCAACACCTTCACTTTGGTGTCTGTGTTGTTTCTCCACCTTGCTTTCGCCGACTCCTCACCATCCGTTTGTCTCCTGAGACCCCCTGTTGGAGCTGGTCTCGGACATGTTGTGATCTGTTTGCTTCTTGAAATTGAAAATGGTTTGATGTATGTAGATGCTCCATTGTTTGTGGCATAAATATTTACAATTGTTATGTCTTATTGATGAATATTTTCCTTAAACAGCATGAAATGACCTTCTTTTTTCCTTCTGATTAGCTTTGGCTTGAAGTCCACTTTATCTGATAAAAGGTTAGAAACCCCCTGCTTGTTTACGAGATAGATGAGAATGATGTTTTTTTCCCATCCTTTTACCTTCGGTGTGTGGATGACTTTGCCTATGAGATGAGTTTTTTGGAGGAGACAGCATATTGTTGAGTCTTGTTTTTTAATCCAATCTGTCAGTCGATGTCCTTTGATTAATGCGCTTAGGCCATTTACATTCAATGTTATTATTGAGAAATGATTTTTATTCCCTGTCATTTTTATTGATTTGTGGTTTTTAATTTGTATTAGTTTCTCTTTTGATTGACTTTTCTTCTAGTATAGTTCCTCCTTTTGCTTGTTTTCACTTTTATTTTTCATTTCTTCTTCATGAAAAATTTTATTGAGTATGTTTTGTACTGTGGGCTTTCTAGTTGTGAATTCTTTTAACTTTTGTTTGTCATGGAAGATTTTTATTTAATCATCAAATCTGAAGTTAATTTTGTTGGGTATAGTATTCTTGGCTGGCATTTATTTTCTTTCAGAGCTTGGTATGTATTATCTCAATACCTCCTAGCTTTGAGGGTCTGAGTTGAGAAATCAGCTGAGATCTGGATTGGTTTCCTTCTAAATGTGACCTGTTGTTTTTTTCTCTGGCAACTTTAAAATTCTATCATTACTCTGTATATTAAGCATTTTCATAATAATGTGCCTTGGTGTGGGTCTGTTGTAATCCTCCTTTATTTGATTTTTCCATTTCATTCTTATGATTTGTAAAATTTTCAGATATTATGTATTTGAAAAGATTGTGTATTCCTTTGGTTTATATTTCTGAGCCTTCATCTATCCTAATAAATCTTATATTTGGTCTTTTCATGTTATCCCATATTTCTTGCAAGTTCTATTCATGTTCTTTTAACATCTTTTTTACATGGTCAACTTTATTTTCAAGATTATATATTTTGTCCTCATTGCCTGAAACTCTGTTTTCCAAGTGGTCTAGTCTGCTGGTGATATGAATTTTTAAATTGTTTATTGAGTCTCATTTTGAGAATTTCTTCTTGATTTATCTTTTTTTAAAAATTTTTTCTTTATTTAAATGATCTTTCACTTCCTGTACTTTCTCTGATTTCACTCCTTATATTACCCTTTCCCTTGCAGATCAGTTTAACTATGAACATTCTGAACTCCTTCTCTGACATTTCTTCCACTGTGGTATCAATGGATTCTGTTATGCAAGTATTTTGTTTTGTTTGGGGTGATTTGTTCCCTTGCTTTTTCATGCTGTTCGTGTGTTTACCCATCTAATTGTATGGATCTGAAGTAGTAGAGTTTCTACACTGTGGACTTAACAGGGTCCCTGAATGTTTAGGGGGAGACAAATAATAATGATAAGTAATGCAAACAACATACAGCATTAAGCAGATAGTTCCTGCTATGACATCTACAGTTGCAAGAATGACAAAACATTTACCCTGAGGTGAGAAACCTTCCTTCATCCTGGCCTTCTGTCATGATGCTCTGCCTCCCCTCAGTACCAGAGAGATGAAGTCAATTGACCATGGACTGAGACCCCTGAAACCATGAACCAAAATAAACTTGAGATCTGGAGAAGTTTGAGTCTTTAGTCCCCGATACATCCTTGTTTCCTGGTATATATTCTTTCTTCCTTAGAAGTCTGTCAATTCCTTTGATGTGTCCATTTCTGATTCATTTCACCCCACTCTTAATTTTCTGGTAGAGGCTGAACGCAGGATTTTTTTTTTCCCCATTATGCTTGTTTCACTTGGACCAAATATTTAAGCTGATGTCTGCATCAATGCACAGAAAAATATTAAATAGAGAAGAGGAGAATAGAGAAACAAAGAAGAAATGAAAATATAATATTGAGGATAAAGATAGCTGCCACTCTCTTGCTCAGCTCTGATGAAAGAGCAGGGCTTTCTGGCACTCACAGAGCTGTTGCTAAAGGAAGGCAGGATAGCCTTTACTAACCCATTTTGTCCCATTGTCCCAGATGTGGAACCCCTATAAAAACTTAAATATAGTATATAATATGTAATACAATTATATAGCACATAATATATAATTATATAATAGAAGACAGTTATAATATAGTGATTATAATATTAATAAACATAATAATATATAAGCTCTAGATGATTATTTACAGTCTATTTTAATGCCCCCATGTCAGTTTCATTGGGATATCTGCAAAACTGAAAACTTGAGACTTGAACAGCAACAACTACTGAATTTTCTCTCCTGAATAAAAGTTTTGAGGATATAAAACTGGAAATGAAAAGAAAACAATAACAAAACACCACAGATCCACTATTCTGCTTAAGAAATTTGTTAATGTAGTACTAAAACTTAAATCTTTTTTCTTTAGGAAATGGATCAAACAATGGCTGCCAATGCTGAGAAGAATAAGTTCTTGATTGATGGATTTCCAAGAAATCAAGACAATCTTCAAGGTTGGAACAAGACCATGGATGGGAAGGCAGAAGTATCTTTTGTTCTGTTTTTTGACTGTAATAATGAGGTAAGACAATCAGCTTTAAGCAACTGATTGTCACCTATTAAGAGAAAAACTAAGTGATTTTATTTCTATTTGCATTTTTTTTTTTAAATCAGTATTTTTCCAGTTGGTAGACTGGGTGAACAGAACAGGACTATCTTGCTGTTGGAGTACTAACAGCTGCTTGACATCAGCAGTTTGGTGAACCTAAAATTTGCTTTAATTTCACAATAACAAGAATCAGTTCTTTTAAATTTAAGAATTGCCATGCATGGCTAGGTACAGTGGCACACACTTGTAATTTCTGCTATGGAGGCATCAGTTCAAGGCCAGACTGAGCAACTGAGGCCCTGTCTCATAATAAAACTTAAACAAAAACAAAAAAGGCTAGAGGTGTAACTCAGTGGTAGAGTATCCCTATGTTCAATCCTAGTACTGCAATAGAAAAGGGGGGGGGGGGGAATTGACATGCACCATAATGTTATGTAATGAAACTGAACTACTACTTTTTAAAATATGCAGTGTTCTCAGAGAGTGTATTGTTTACTAGGGGGGAAAAAACTTTTCTGGAAAGTTAGGGAGGCTTTCTTTTTAAAAGAAACCTGCAGTGTAGCCCAGTTCACTTCTAAGAATGAAATGGTCTTGAAAAAAGCAGGAAAGAGTTCTTTTTTTTCCTCCCCCACTTTTTCTAATAACATGCCCAGACATACCTTTAAATAACTAAATGAATTTCTTATTTAACTAAAAGGCCTGACTGTCTGACAACTGCTGTGATATAAATTTCATTAAATTAATGCCAACAGCCTGAAAGAATAAGAATCTAAAGTACTGCCTTAAAGGAAGTTGGCTATTCTTAGGTTGAGTTACAGATGTGCCTTTGGTAGAGTCTTGCTGCAGCCTTTGAGTTATTTTAAATGTAACTCTTCTTCTAACCCCCAAAAATGTGTTTTCACTTATCCTTCAAAGTTAACTTTAGAATGTTACCACAGCTTTATAACTAAAAAATGTTTATTCACAATTAACAATAAATGCTTTTTTCAAATATGTTGACTCTTAAATATTTGGATATTTATGGAATTATTGTAAAGTAAGCAAAAATGAAACAAAGTTTGAGGCATGTAATTCATACCTAATAAGTTAATAATATATCCGAGATGGAACCATACACATACAGATCTTCTTTTTATTGCGGTTTGAAAAAAATATACACAGGAAAAACTGAGTCATGAATGAATTCTTATTATGTTCTGTACTTATTTAACCTAGTTTATATAAATTGAACCACATGTTTAATTTTAAAAAGAGTTGCATGTTGATTAATGAATTAGACACATTGGGTTTAATGCAGGATATTTTTGGTAGTTTTTTCAAACTTTTCAGGCTAAAAGAATGGCAAGCTCATATCTTTCTGTTTTTTAAATAACGTTTTTACTTAAATATCTCTTTTTAGATCTGTATCGAACGATGTCTTGAGAGGGGAAAGAGTAGTGGTAGGAGTGATGACAACAGAGAGAGCTTGGAAAAGAGGTACTTTTCAGTTTTTACATTTAATCATCTCAATCCCAGTGTGGACCTTGAGTGACATATTAAATTCCTGTCCTGTTTTAGTGTAGAAAACTAAATTAAAAGGTTCTGCTGATACAGGTGCAGTGGCTTATGTAAGGAGAGGATGCTGAGGCATTTGGGTTGGGCCTAATGTCCTCTGAGCCATTCTGTAACATGGAAGAAGATACCTAGAATCTTATGATATTTGCTTCTTTTACAGAATTCAGACTTACCTTCAGTCAACAAAGCCAATTATTGACTTATATGAAGAAATGGGGAAAGTGAAGAAAATAGACGCTTCTAAGTCTGTTGATGAAGTGAGTGTCCCTGGCCTGTTTTTGAGAAAGAGTCAAGTGAAAATGTGATTGTTTCTTCAGAAGTAGGCAGGAGTAAAATAAAAACTAACGACAGATTAGTTTGTTTGCTTTTCAAGACACTTGAGAATCAACGAGAAAATAGGTTTTTCTCTCTTTTGAATATCAGGTCTAAAATAGGTTTTACAACTTCAGATTTGTTCTTCATGAGAAGTGGGTGGTTTATTCATTCTAAATCTCTTTTCCTAAACACTGGAACATTGGTATTTTGATCGCTGTGATTTGGATCATTTAATTTTTTTAAAAAAATCTATAGTATGACTGGCAAGTCATCTAATGCAAGAGCTCCACAGTGCTTTCTCCTTTTTCATCACAGAACACATAGTTCCAAAGGTGCAGTGTTTCCACAACTCATCTCTGCCTTCATAAATCAATGATCTCTAAATTGTGATTTGAACCTATAGTGTCTGCACATTTTCTAGTGTTTCTTAGTTCACTAATTGCTCTTTCCCTTATTTTTTTGACTCGCCTTTCTTTTATATTCATAAGATAGAAAGGTCCAGAAGAAGAATATTCAGTGAATCTTTTTTAAAATCTGTTACCACTTTCTGTAGAGGTAATACATAAGAAAACTTCATTTTTTAGAATTAGAACTAAGGAAATAAGCCACTTCAGTTTACATTTTTACTAAAGTATTGATAGCCTGTCAAGAAGTATGTTTTGAGTTGGTTGAGGTGATACATGCCTGTAATCTTATGACTTTGGAGACTGAGGAGCCTGGGCAGCTTAGTGAGACCTGTCTCAAAAAAAAACCTATCTGGGGATGTGGCTTATTCATGGAGTGCCCTCGGTTCTATACCCAGTATGGCAAAACAAACAAAAAATTATGTTTTATCCTAAAAGCATCAATAAAATTGAATGCACATGTTCGTAATTTTATGTTTATGATGTCTAAAGTGAAATAGATGAACCTAAGAAATTATGTGATTTTAAAAAAAAGATCCATTTTAAAAATTAATATAATATTGGTTTTAATAACAATTTATCTGTATGATAGGGTTTTTTTTTTTTGTCCCCCGTTTTGCCCACTCTTCATCCCATGCCATCTCCATGCTGTGAACTGAATCCATGGCCTTGCATATGTTATATGGTGTTTCACTGTCTGGTTTTAAAATTATTCTTTTTTCTTCACAGGTTTTTGATGAAGTTGTGAAGATTTTTGACAAAGAAGGCTAACTCTAAACCTGAAAGCATCCTTGAAATCATGCTTGAATATTGCTTTGATAGCTGCTATTACAACCCCTTTTAAAGGCAATTTTAATCTTCAAAATTACATCTCAATTAATGACTAGAAAATACATAGTAAGACAAGACAAAGTAAATTTTTATGGTGTTTTTTTCTTTTTGATTTGTTTTTGGTCACAGGAGTAGACAGTGAATTCAGGTTTAATTACTTCTTAGTTATTATGGTGCTCACAAAACAAAGAAGGGTATCAGCTAGTTCTTTGATTTTATTAACGACTGTCCTTTTTATAGTTTGTGCCTTCTGTGAGCAAAATTTTTTAGTATGCATGTACATCCCTTTAGTAATTACAACATGTTAGAATTAGGGATTCCCACTTCTTTTCTTGCAGGTTTTAAATTTCTAACCTCTTAATTGAATTTGTGGACCAAATTTCAAAGGAATTATTTTGTGTAGTCAGTTCTTGTGCGAGGTGTTTGGTAAACAAACTCATAAAATGGATTCAAACAGTGTTTTAGTATTTATGAAATAACTGACCATTTCCTATAGTAAGATGGGAAAACTTAGGCTTTGATTTACTTCAACTTGCACAAAGTTGTATGTCAGAGCTTCCAGGGTTTGGGTTGGGGGCACGAGGGGTTCAGAGCCTGGAGGAATTGTCAGTTTTATTCTGACATAATCTGAGGATATGGAGCAAGGATCACATCTAATTTCTTATGTTCCTTATGCTCAATTGTATAGTGCTATTCATTTAGTAAACTGATCTTAACACAATTCCTAGCAGTGGAACCTTGAAATGCATGTGCTAGATTTATACTAAAATGATTCAGTTCTCATTTTAGCAATGCTTCCAAGTCTTTTTTTGTTTTTTTGAGACTAAATATAGGGATAAGATAAATTGTAAAACAACCTAATGATTAAAGTTCCCATTTGCATTTTATTTTCTGAAATACTTTTTTCATAGTTACTTGTTTTAAAAGATTTTAAAAATCATTGCACTTTGGTCAGAAAAAATAATAAATTTATCTTACAAATGTTTGATTCCCTTCCTGGCTACTTTTGTTTAGTAAATTGGGGGTGGGGGGGCATCACATTGAAGCATTGAAAGGCACAAAATTTTAAAAAGGCTCGAGTCCATTCTTCCTTTAAAATCTCTGAGAAATTTTTTTCTCCTTCTCTCACTAATGCTAAGTAGTAACCATGGTGTCTCTCTCTCTCTTTCTTTTTGGTGGTGGTACAACTTGGGATTAAACCCAGGGGTACTCTACCACTGAGCTACATCCCAGCCCTTTGTGTTTTTTTTTTTGTTTTGTTTTGTTTTGAGACACAGTTGGTGCCCTGGCTGGCCTTGATTTGCAGTCCTCCTGCGGCAGCCTCCTTAGTAGCTGAGGTTACAGGTGTGTGGCACCATGCCTGGCTCCTAAGTTCTTAATAGAGAGTTCTTAAATGTTTTTCATTTTCAAGACTTAAATTACGTGGTATACAGGGTTAAATAAGGCATGGAATTTTTTAATAATTAAGTTTTATATTTAAAGTTATTGGGAATAGTGAGAACGAGTTAATGGCTATTCTTATAATAGAATCATTTATTTCTAGGCACATTATGAAACTGACTTACTAATGAGAAATTTTTCAATATATTTGCCATTAGAAAACAAAGTATCCCTTAGTACTATAATATATTGGCCACCAAAATTTATATTGATATTAATCTTGGTTACTTGGAAGAGATTGTAGTTTTTTCTAAAACTTTAATCCATCCAATACAGAGGACCTTTATTAATGGTTTCATCATACCACTGTAGTGTGAAGCAAAAGTAAAGACTAAGGTTTTGAGAGCATTCCTAGTCACACAAGTAAATAAATCTGTCAGGTGGGAATCTAAATATTTATACCAACAACTGTGAGAGCATCCATACAGTTTTGAAGACTGCTGAGACTAGGTGTTTTGCCTCCTTTCATCAGGTATCTTTCTTTGGCATTTGAGAATAGAAACCAAGAAATATGGTAATTACTAAATTATGAAGCTTTGTTTTTTGTTTGCTTTTAAGTAGAAAAATATGTTGGCAAGATTGAATTTTGTAGTTGATTGAGATACATCTGATTTCACTAGTTTGGTCATTCCATTTGTTAAAGATATAGTCACTAAGACATTCTTCAGTTTCTGGAAAGTCCCTAATTTGAGCCTTACTGTGTTGCTGTGTTTCTTTAAATTATTTCCATTCTGTGATGTTGAATGTGTATAAGTTATTTAGTAAAATAATCCCAATAAATTTTGTGCTAAGGCCTTTTGTATTTGCTGGCTCAGATTTTTGTTCTCTTAAGCATATTAAAGATCAAGAAGTATCATATTTAACATGTGGGTTCTCAAAAGGCAAAAGCAGAATTCAGATCTGGGAGAATTTTCTGCCCTGTGTATTATGTTTGGGCATCTTGACTTAGGTGGGAAGCATGCCTTTATCCCATTTCTTCAAGAAGTAATTTGGGCCAGGCACAGTGGTGCGTCCCTGTAATCCCAGCAATTTGGAAACTAAGGCAGGGGGATTGAATATTTAAGGTCAACCTCAGCAACTTAGTGAGACCCAGTCTCAAAATAAAAAAACAACTGGGAATATAGCTCAGTGGTAATGTACCCTTGGGTTCAATTTGTAGTATGTTTAAAAAAAAAAAAAAAGTAGTTGTTGTAGTAATCTGGATTCAGTCACATGCAGCCTGTTTCTTACTGTGGGAAGCATCATTTGTTTGCCTTTGAGAGGGAAATTGATAGCAGGCAATGGGTCTCAGAAGGGCTTTTGTGGATTTATGGCTTTGTCCTTGTGATTATAGTGGTTGTCAAATATTCCAGTGGTTCTTGAAGATAATAGCAATTGAAGAAATAGGCCAAACTGGTTAGCATCTCTTCCCTGGAGTTTTGGGTCTTCATCTTCAAACGGGTACTAATCGCACAAACCGTAGTGCTCAAATATTCCAGGAGTTTTCTGTCTAAAAAAACTCTGATATGCATAGATTTTCAGATGTCTCAGGCATTCTTACATATTCTTATTTCAGTTCTCCCCAATCTACCTGCATCTTCACCTAAATTAAGTACTCCTTAATTCTAACCATCTTTCTTTCTATTTTTTTTCTTTCACTGAAGAAAGGCAAACAATGGTCCTAATGACCTATTCCTTTATTTCCTCTTCCCTGAGGCCAGTATAAGTATTTGCTTGGATCCAGGTGTGCTTGGGATGGGTGATATTCATATGGGAATTCATTAATCCCTGAAGGCCACCATCTTTCTGTTGGGAGAGCTGAAGAAAGAAATTGAATTTAAGGTCATGGCTAACCATACTAGCTCCAGCATCCCTTAGGCTCAGACCTTTATGGAGTCCTGCTGTGTCTGCTCTTCAGAGCAGAACCTGCTTCTCTCAGGTCCATCTTCAAGGAGGTTTTTCTTTCGTGGGCTTGCCTTCCTAAATCCCAATTCTAAGAAGAGATTTTACTTATTTATTTAGGGGAGACAGGGAGGTAATAAGTCAGAAAATTTCTGTTTGTATGAAGTTGTTTCAGACAGAGAATTATTATTTTACTTATGATATATTTTGAAGTAACTATACATTCTAAACATTGACCTTGACAGCCTAACCAATTAGAGGAAACCATCTTCAGAGGCAAGTTGCCATTACCACTTCACACCCACCAGTAACAAGGACTTTGGCTCCTCACTTGGGCCTGTAAGTGCCCAGTGGTTAGCTCAAAGCAGAATAAAAATCTTGGTATCTCTGCCTTTGTTTTGCATCTGTCCCTTTGTTCTGAGTCAGTCACCTTGGATTCCAGGAACAATAGGTTTCATCAATAAGCATCTTAACGATGAATGGAAACTACCTCCAAGGCAACAACCACTTTCTTACTGCAGCCTACAAGGCTGCCTGACCAATCCTGAGATAATCATCAGCCAAACCACCCTATGACCAAGATTGCTTGACTGCACACTTTGGTTCATGTCAGTTCTCCCAAAGACAGGGCTGAGACACTGATCACCTATACCCTGTAGGGCCATATTGATTAAAGTTCCTTTTTGCTTTTCACCATTCCTTTTTTCATTTGGTTTTTGGGGCAAATGGCTAGACCTAATTTTTGGGGCCCTTCCCATCAGGCCTCTGGCCTGGAATCTGGTAACACACCACACTTAGTGTGGTTACAGATATACTCTACAGGTTGTCTTCTACACAGTAGAATCAAAAGCCATTAAGCAATATACATGTAATTAGCTTATGTGTCCTCATTTGGGTGAATAACCACATTTAGGAAGAAAGTTTAAAAAAAAAAAAAAAGAATTTAAAGCCACATTGCAAACTTTGGAAATGTTCCTGTACTAATTTCTTGAAATCTTCCTGGAAAGAGTATGCTACTGAGCATATATATATGTATCTTTTCACAGCAAACCAGTTTTCAGAGATGCTGATCCCTGTGACTGGTATTCAGAGTTGGTTACAGGTAGGTTACATCTTTGGGCATTGTGTTTGTCAGCAGACCGAAGAATGACAATAGCAAAATAATAATTATTATAACAAAATAGTTTTAAACTTGTCTGTTGATACAAAATACGTTTGAGATATTAAGTTTTTCGTTGCAAATTTCTAAGCTCTTCAAGTTTTCTGAGGATTCTGGGTTGAACTTTCTCATGCCCTGGTCCCAAAAGCTTCCAGTGCTGGGAGAACACTGAGTAAGTTCAGCAATCAGTACTTACACAAAATTGTGTGTTTGGCTCACCCTGACTTGTTTATTGGTTTTATAAAAAAACATTTTTACAAGTGGCTCCAAAGCAGCTGCCAAAAATTGGCCAGCTGAGTATCTGATCATGATGAGACTGTATCAAAATGACCTCATGATGTCAGGCTTTTTTTCCTCTTATTACTTGATGCTCAGTAGGCACTATGTCCTATCCTCAACTGGGATAATGGTCAAGATGGACAAATTATTTGAAGGGGGGAGATGCTAACGTTTAATTGGCTTTTATATTGGATGAATTTATTCCCACATTGAAACAGTCAAGTTAAAACACCTGTGTCAGCTGGGTATCGTGTCACGTGGCTTAGTTAGCTTCTTGGGAGAGTTGGGTCAGGAGTATTGCTTGAGCCTGAGTTCAAGGGCAGCCTGGGCAACATAGTGAGACCTCCTTCTCAAAACAAAAGAAAAAACCCAGCTATATTAGAATTCCTCTGGTCTCAAAACAACTGTGACAGATGTTCATGTCATATACTATCAAACATGATTGGGCAGAGGCTGTAATTTATATCCCTTTCTCTATTTAGGGCCTTTTTTAGGTATAAGAGCTACTTGGGGAAAGAAGGTAACAATTGGATTTGAGGCTGCTACTGTGTGTACTAATTCAAAGTTCCAAAATTCAGGTGATGGGCTGAGGCAGGGAGAGTAACACCCTTTATTTAGAGAATTAGGATTTTGCAGGTTCTGTACCATACATGATGGCTCTTGTGGAGGCTGACTTATTCTACAGATTGTCACTCCTAACAGTATCATTTTCTTTCTTTTTTAAAATTTGAGTTAGGCAGGTACTCAATTTCTGTCTAAGTTGCTAAGGCTGGCTGTGAATTTATGATCATCCTGCCTTAGCCTCCCAAGTAGCTGGGATTGGGCATATACCACCATGCCAAATCAAAACTGTTTTATTTATTTATTTGTTTGTTTGTTTATTTTTGTGGTGCTAAGGATCGAACCCAGAGCCTCATCCATACCACTGAGCCACAACCCCAAACAAACACCATTTCTTAATCTGTTCAGAAGTTTTCATAATCCCATTTCCTTCCTCTTAACGAGTGTTTTGTTGAAGAAAATGTGTTTTAGGAATGTGACTCCCCTTAATACCATCTATCTTCATTTATCTTTAGTTTGTGTTTTGAGTAATTTTTATGGATATTTCTGAGTTTAGTTTGCATATTTGATTTTAGAAAGTATTTATTACCATCAGCAAATTCATTTTATGGACCATACAGTTTATGGCTAATTGGTGAAATAATGGCAAGATACATATAGGAGGC